TAACACATGAGAGAATCCAACTCGGCCTTCCGCAAGTTCCGAATAACGGGCGACCGTCCCCGAACGGTGAAGGTCATAACCGGAGCCGGTGACAGTCCTCGAAGATATGAGACAGCCGCAGGAGTTTGCCTGGCTTACACGAACATGCCGCACCTCGACCCAACTTCCGAAGCGTATGCTGCCCGCTACTACCGCCTCCTAGAGGTCCTCAAGACCGAGGGACTTGTCGAGCCGCGATACGATGCCAACAGTCCCGGAGAGTGGCTGGCTTGGGCTCACGGAGTCCGTTGGATGATCGTACGTGCCTCCGAACTTAGACTATCGTTCGAACCATCGAACCGACCTTCGAACAGCGATTCTTGTTCGAGTCCCGTAGCCGGGCCATCCTGCTGGCGAACGATACGCTTCCCGCTCCTAGGTCGTTCCCCGAGATCGACGAGTTGATGCGTTACCTCGATGAGGTCTTTCACCGCGATGGCAACCAGGGAGACATCCTAGGTTCGCCCTACCCTACGATCGCGTGGTCCGAGACCTTGGTACTGCTCGAACAAGTCAACCAGGCCGAGCGTCGTCCCCTCGCGAACCCGCAGTATCAGCGCGAGTCGTTGATCCTGTCCGACTTTCGCCAGCTGCCCGATAACCTCGAGGCCATGGGTCGAGCAATTCACAACATCGCAGTCGACCAGCGCCGCACGCACGGCACCCTCGTTGGGTTGCTCGAAAGCCTACTCGAGCGCGTCAACACTGACCGTGGCGCCGACACCGGTCCGTCTGTTCGTAGGGGTAGGGGTGGTGGTCATGGGTGTGGAGGTCGAGGACATAGATACGAGAGTTGCCGAGGTCGTCACTAGCTAGGTTGACGTAGCCATGTACTTGCTCCGGAGTCCTACCAATGTAGCGACGCTTCTACACCGCTTGTCTCTGCCACTAAGGGTTCCGAACATGGACGCTTGAGCTTCGAACATCGGGCGGTTCCCTCGAACGGACGGACAGTGCGTCGACCGTTCTGACTTAGTGTACCGTTGTATCGACCGTAAATGGCGTTTTCGGTGGGTAGGTGAGCTAAGGGCTCATCAACGTTGAATATGTTGAAGTGGTGAACATACATTCCGTCAACCCCCTACGTGTATGGATGGTACTAGTTGAGAACAAATGGCCTACCTCAACGAAGCTGTAGCACAGCACGGCATCGCACACGATCGTCATCTTGAACCGGACGTGCATCGATGTTCAGTCTTCTCGAAGGTCCATACATCATTGGCAATCTGCGAGAGGCGAGGCACGACTCCGAGCCGATCGCAGAGTTAAGTCTAAGTAGCGTGATGCAGGGCGTAGACGCGCAATGCCTCTCTCGTCGCGCGCCCACGTCCAAAACTCTAGCGAAAGCAATCGAGCTTTCGCCCAGCCTTTGGTCGTCTTTTCATCTTTGAAAGCCTGTGGAATGCACTCCTAGTACCTAGTCCAACATCAGTACTAGTCAAACTCGCTGGCAGTGCCAAAACCACTCCCCCGAGTCCCATGCTCAAACCAGACAGCCATGCGCCACCACAGAGGCTCAAGCAGGCTGCAGCGCACACTCAGGTGCTAGGAAGCAGCCAGTCAGCACAGGAAAGTCCAGAGGTTGGGCGCAGAGCAGGCCCCGAAAGACGAGATGAAGAACAATAATAATAAAAAAAAGGTGTTTTATGTTGCCTGCTACGTGCTGCAGGCTTCGGCCGCCCTGCTACGTGCTACAGGCCTCGGCCGCCCAGTTACCTGCTACAGGCCTCGGCCGCCCTGCTACGTGCTACAGGCTTCGGCCGCCCGCTACAGGTTTCGGCCACATGCTACCTGCTACCTGCTACATGCTTTGGCCACCAGTTACCTGCTACAGGCTACGTGCCACATGCACGGATCACAACCCACACGATGTGAACCACGGTCCACACACCTCAGTAGCCAAGCTACAACGCGTCGCCCCAGCTCCTTCACCCCGGGTATTGCAGCTCCGAGCTCGCCCGTTGTTGCACAGGCTTAGACGCAAAGCTACTTCATAACCATCCCCGAGGCTGAACCCCGAGGCGTCCTCGTGCCCTCGCGTCCTCCATTTGCCCCACCCCATCTGACTCAACTCGGTACACTCCCAAGAGTAGGGCATACACTACTAGGCTCAACCGTTGTCGCCGAGCCTATGCCCGAGCCCGAGTCTGGCGAGTACGGCAATGAGCCGCCACGACCCAACGGCCGGTCCAGCAGGTATGAGCAGGAACTCGCAAGCTCGATGGTCGCGTGCTCAGAACTGAGACGCGACAGAAAGTATGCGTATACTAATCACGTCGACCGATGCACTCGACGTGTTCAACGACGCGCCCGGCGACGTATTTGGCAACGACGCGCTCCGAGTCGACACGGCTGGCGATAGACTCGTAAACCAGTCGATGAGGCGCTTGTCTCCTTTTGGACACTCCTCTGTTTGGTAACTTTTGAAGCCAGGAAAGGTAACCGGAGTGCGAAAAGGAGACAAGCGCCTCTAACGACTGGGCGAATTGGCCCCCCTTTACCTTGGTCGCCCCGTGGGAAACGGGACTTAGAGAAATCGTGTTGCGTCTCCTCAAGGGAAGATCGCGCGCGAGTCTCCCGCACGTCATATCGCAATCCTCGAGTAGCGATTCAACAAGGAGGTATGTTCGAGACATACAAATCAGCTAGAATATACAGCACTGACATGAATAGAACACGTAGATGTGGTGGGATTGTCCTCATCCACCTCGCGCCTCGGTCCCTTGTCCTCGCCCGCGTCCTCGCCCGCGTCCTCGTCCTCGTCCACCACGCGTCCCGGGCTGTCCGCCTCTGGAAGAAGCCGACGTCGAGTGTTCATAATCCTCGGCCGTCAATTGCATGCGGAAGATAGCTGGTCGCTGGCTAGTAGCTGGAGTCGATGTTGCTGGTGTACCCGTCTGCGACGGCGTGACCACTGGAGGCCATTGAGCGAAGGGGCTCGGCGTTGGTTGCAGTGATGGCGAGTAAGTGTAGTGTTGAACCGGATCCTGATGATTCGGGCTCGGACGACGAAGACTTCGTGAATGAAGACGAACCGGAAGACCTGGAGCCCCAAGCTTTCATGTCTCTCGAGACGGCGGGCGATGTAGCACTCGACATGGACATTCAAGAGGACTTTGTACTCGACTTCTAATCTGTAATACAATACAGTTCCATGTAGATATCGATTTCGAGAGGCTCAGACCACACACCAGCGACGCTCCAGAAGGCAGCTATCGCGCGTTTTCTCCAAGTCCCATTTCCCACGGGTCGACCAAGGTAAAGGGCGGCCAATTCGCCCAGCCGTTCTGGCGAACAGGACAAGTGCCACGACGGACTTTGAATTTCTTTACGCCAGAACGGCTGGGTACGAGCCTAGGCTGGCGACGCGCTCGACACCGAGGGCTTCAAGAATCACGAGCTCGCGTTGACGCCACCACGATCGCCCGACCCTTCATCAAGACGCTCGCACTGTCCCAACGGACAGGCGAGCTCAAGTTCGCGACCACTGAACTGCCGCCAATTCAGTCGGGGGCGTCCGACAACCCCACCAGCGGTTCAAGACCGCTATATCCTTCCTCTCCCGGGCCTCAAGCGCCACCCGGGACACCTCCATTCGACCCTCACACCCCCTCTATTGCATCTGGCGACCTCAATACGGCTCTTCGCGGCTGTGGCGACACACAACAAAGCCGCACGACCCAGGACTCGCACGACGCACGCGCAAGTCCAGCGCCGGGCAACAACACCCCGCAGAACATCGAGAAACGTGGCGCAAGGGATGCCGTCGCACCGAAGGGCGCGGGGCGAGCAGAAACGCTCGAACATTGCAGGTACGCCCTCGTTGGCCATCCCTACCTTGCCGTCCCTGCCCCCAGTGCCCACACCATCAGGCATACCGACGAACGCGAAGTCCATCGTGCGCCTGCTGGCCGTGAACATGGTGTGCCCGCCTCTCGGGACGACTCTTAGGTCGTACCCACTACCTCTGTCGCCGGAGACGACTTATACATTGTAGCCGCTGCTCCGCACGGCCACGCGTCGGACGTCGGACGCACACTGTTGCACGTCTGACGTGCTCCGGTTTCATATGAACTGCCGCATGGCAGTGGGTACGTCGAGCCTATCGCTCGACGTACACGCTGCCGACGACCCCGTCGGCGCGTCCGGCAGACTCGCAAACACCCGGTGTTTTGTAGGCAGTGAGGGCCGGCACATCAGGTGTGTTGACTTCAGTTTGGGAGCAACGGCCGAGCCGCAACCCGTCGCCACAGCTTCTTCAACCCGGGTATCGCAGCTCGCCCGTTGCCCTCCAGGTCCCGGAGGTCCGTTTTGGGTCGGGCAGCCCGTAGGGCTGCGCCCCGCACCCGCTACACACATAACACCTTGCAGCTCCAATTGCGGCCTCTCCGCCTAGGATCACTGCGACCACGATTGGTTGCATAGTAGTTACACTACGCTACACTACTCGACCTAGCCCGAAGACAGCAACGTAGATAGATAAGTGGCAACGTTGAACGTAACTCAGAAGTCTGAACCTGGTCTGAACGTGAGAAATGGGCAATGGATCTCCGGGCCATGGCCAAGCCATGGCAATGCAAGTATGTATCCGACGTTCGTTGACGAGACTCCTCTTGTTGCCAAACGCCCGCGTCAGTGACCCATGGAGGAGTTGCAAAGTCATGGCCAGTGTCTATGGAGTGAGTCTCGATGGGCCGGGTATATCGTCGCGGACGTTCATCGGTGCTTGCCAGAACGGGTCGTTATCAGTCCCAGTCCCAATATACTTGCGGGTCGCCGATCATCACGGCACTCCGGCGGACACCACTAGAATATTATGGACCCAGTCACGGAGCGAATAGTCGGGCATGATGTTCCTGACCCGACTTTTCAGTGACTCGTGTCGGTGCGCAAGTCGAGGATTCAGAAGTGCAACGGTCGTCACCTCTCCGACAAGGAGTCAGCCTACAACTGCTGCCAAGATGCTACCTCGACTAGTTTTATGCGGTGAGAGCGTATCTTGAATGACCAGGTTCTAGATATCAATTACGCTTCAGACCCCGTTGCATACGAGAATGAGTGCAAAGCGATGTTTGACGGCGTCGCAGAAGTTCTGGTGAGCACGTCCTCATGTATTCCAAAATGTCCAGTTAGGAGACCAATAGAAACAGCAATTAGACCAGTCTGCAAATCGTGACGACTTCATTCGCTCCCTTCATCCTGGAGGCCAGCTGGAACGCGCGATCGGGCTCTTCGAGCGCAACCAGTCCATCGGACGCATTGGTCGCTTCGACGAGGAGCTGATCAGCAGGCTTTCTCCCACTATCAAGTGGATCGCGCACTTGGGTGCGGGCTACGACAAAGTCGACGTCGTCGCTTGCAAGGAGCGTGGAATTGGTGTCTCAAATACCCCCGGAGCTGTCGACGACGCGACAGCGACCACCGCGCTCTACCTGCTGATATCTGCGTTGCGAGGCTTCTCCGCGGCTGAGCGGAGCTTGCGTGCAGGTAACTGGAAGAGATCCCATTCTGCTGCAACCGCGCACGACCTCACCGGGCGTACCGTCGCCGTCCTCGGATTAGGCGGCATTGGACTACGTTTCGCCGAACTAGTCCATGCGTTCCCAATGCGCGTCCTCTACCACAACCGGCGAAAGGTCACGACCGCACCGGAGTGGTGCGAGTACTATGACAAGGATCACTTCGACGATATGCTCGCACAGGCAGACGTGCTCAGCGTCCATGTGCCGTTCACAGAGGAGACGCGGAACATTGTCGACGACAGGATGATTCGCAAGCTGAAGAAGGGTGCTGTGATCATCAACACAGCACGCGGACAGGTCATCGACGAAGAGGCCATGATGCAGGCTCTCAAGGACGGCCACGTATGTGCAGAGTCATCTTTGGTTTGACCAATGTTGATAATTCGCGTACTAGCTATCTGCCGTTGGTCTTGATGTCTTCTACAACGAGCCGAACATTGACCCGCGTTGGTACGATATTCCCAACGCGGTTCTGCTTCCCCACGTAGGGACAGCTACTGCAGACAGCGTCAAGAAGATGGAATTACGCGCTCTCGGGAATTTGCGTGATTTCGTCCTTGTGGGGAAAGGAACAGACCTCGTACCGGAGCTGAGGTAGTTTACGGGCGAGGAGGCCGGGTCGACGGAGCTGATGCGATGCACTGTGAATATTGTGAATATCATGATATGGAATACAGAGTCTTGAGTCTCAGTTGACGGATCCAAGGTCGTTGTCATTCACGTATTGCTGATTCGATGAGCATGGTTTATTCCTGTGGCACTGAGCCCAAAATTTGCTCTAGATTGGTCTAAATACTAGTGTTTCGAGGGCCAGCCTAATGAACACAACTTACTATAGGAACCGGGAGTAGGAAGACCTGCTGAGTACTGGGTGGTAATACTGTCGGACATCCCGTCCAACCTCTCCATGAACGTTTGAACAGCTATGCATACGCCAAATATTCAATACGTAATTAAAGTTCCTCCGAGTCAGAGATTGAGTGGGCGCCAGCGCAGATCTCAATCTCGATCTTCAACGCTTCAGCCACAACAGCCAACTCGGAAGATTTGACTCTTGAGCGTCTTCCGGAGACCAAGGTCCATTCAACGGCGCTGTAGCTTGCTGTCCAGACAACTGGAAGTGCAGTGCGTAATGACGATATGCCTGTCTCCTAATTGATATAACTTATGCTGTAGCAGCACGGATGCGTAACCTCTCGACTTGGAAAATTATCCCGACATGTCTTCAATCACCTGAACAAAGTTCATCCAGCAAACGACGTATCTCTTGCATCGTCGTTGATGTGGATGAGGACGCTTTCTTCGTTGCCTCTGAGAACACAAGCAATGACAGCAAGTCCGAGATTGAGATATGGAAGCTCGCTACTCGAGAGGACGGGCAGGTCAGTTCTTCGATCAGACCTCGGGTAGCGTTTTCATCTGGATAATCTTCCAGTTTCCTGCAAAGATTGCGGTATATAGCATTCCTGATGCCGTCTCTTCCAATCCGTGGTCGGCAGGTCAACGTCGCAGGTCAACTCAATGTATGAAGCAATCAGCTTGAGACTCCTCCTAGACACGCGCACGATCGTCCTGATTACTCGTAATGGGATTTATGTCTTTGTCTTTGGAGGACGAAGAGCAAGTAAGGTTTCTATCAGACTTGAAACGGCTCTGACAATTCATCCAGTTCGATATAGTTGGCTCGGTTGAAGCAGGCATTACCGCGCTACGTGGGGTCCCGATGACTCATTGCTCGTCCTGACAACAGGTCAGTTTATCACGAGGAATTGCTCATGATGGTCGAATGAATTTGCGATACAGGCGACGAGAAATTATTCTCATGACGTCTACGTTCGATGTTCTCACTGAAGTCCCTTGCATCCTAGCGATTTTGGAGAAGGTCTGTTGTGACCACTTGGCATTGTGCGCACGCTAACATGTGCAGATGCTCCAATCGCGCTCGGCTGGGGAGACAAGAAAACCCATTCCATGGTTCACTCGGAAAAAGCGCTGCACAGGCCGGCTTCGACTTATCTGCGGTTGGTACTAGCCCAGACGACGATAGCATACCCCGCATTAGTTGGCGTGGAGACGGCGCATCCTTCGCCGTTTCTGCGGTTTGTCCTGCAACTGTGAGCCTGATTGCATGTGAGACGTGTTGGTGCTCATTTGTCTCTACCTCTTAGGGTGAGAACACGCGCTCTCGCAGGATGCTCCGAGTATATTCCCGCGAGGGAGCACTCTCGAGTACAGCAGAGCCCGTTGCCGGACTGGAGCATGCACTCGCCTGGCGGCCATCAGGCAACCTCATAGCCAGCACGCAGCGTTTCGGGGGTGAGGACGGACTTGCAAAGGGAAAGGAAGGAAGGCACGATTTGGTTTTCTTTGAACGTAACGGCTTGAGACACGGCGAATTCGGGCTACGGGAGTGGGCCGATGGCAAGCGCAAACTGGCCAAAACTGTGACGTCGAGGAAGTGGGGATACAGGGTGAAGGAACTAGGGTGGAGCTCGGACTCGAACGTGCTCAGCGTCTGGATTGAGAGCGACGATGGGATATCGGTGAGATCGGCACCCCCTTCGCAATAAAGGCTATCGCGTGACTGATACCGCCTTGCATAGTACAATTGTGGACCACAGGAAATTACCACTGGTAAGTCCCGTTACGTAGCAACGGCTCAACCGCCTCGATTCACTCCTCATCGTAAGATAGGTATCTCAAGCAGGAGATCGAAGCACCACGCGAGCCATCCGGGGATCCAGGGCGATTCACATCCGTGACGTGGCATCCCGAAGACGCTCTTCAGCTTATTCTTACCACATCATGTAAGTGGATGTATTCCTCAATCGACCGGCGATTCATTTGTGCCCCAGCTCAAATCATACAGCGCACTTACGTATGGGAGACCTGTGCGTCTCGTAGCCAGCCACCCAACGACACCGGCTCCGTCGCTGTCTTTGATGGAAGTATGTGCCTCAGAGCTCGTCAATCCGACAATTCCTGACTCTTCATCCTCAACAGCTAATGTTCTCTTGACTCCGTTCCGCTCGCAGAATGTGCCCCCTCCGATGTGTGCTTTCAGCCTGGATCTTTCGGCATCGACGCCTTCGCAGCCCCTAGGTTCAAAATATGCTCGTACCGCAGTTCCCATACACGCCGCATTCGGTTCTGAACAGGATGTCCTCGCTCTACTCTGGGAATCTGGACGCGTGGCAGTCCACGGTTTACACACGAGGATCGGCCCAGGGCGAGGGAAGATCATGACCCCTGAGAGGTTATGGGACGGTGACTTGAGTGTAGAGGCTAAGCTAGATACTCCCCGTTCGTATCGCCAGGTGGTCCTGCTGCAAGCGCTCGACATCGACACCGCGGAGCAGCCTAGGGGACACGCCCGCCTCGCTGTTTTGGCTGCAAGCATGGCCGAATCAACTCCTGACGTGGTCTGCGTAGTCTCACTTCGACCCGATGGCCAGATTAGCATCGTCGAGGTTGAATTACCGTCCCGCAATGGTCGACTCCTGTCGGCAGATGACCGAGTCCTATGGCAAGCACCGTTGGGCGACGTGTTCGAGAGTGCGTATGCATTGCCTGTTCCTTACGTTGTATACCCCTGATACATCGACCCCAGTTGATCAACGGAGCCTGAGCCCAATCCTCAGGTGCTCCTTCCCGGAATTTTGCACAACTGCGTCTCAGGTATCCGCAACGCATAAAGACGCAAAGGCGTCCTCTATATCGGTCTTGCTCCTGGCGGAAAGCTCCACGTCGCTCTGGAAGAAGGGTCTGCGCGAACGCTCGCCAGCAATGCGACGTCGTTCACAGTTGCTTCTGGCTTCCTCATCTACACAACCACTGCCCACGTCGCCCAGTTTGCGCCTCTCGACGCTCTCGCAGGTCTATGCCCATCACCGACATCGGACTCCGATCTTCCCGAAATACCCACATGGGAATCAAGACGTGTAGAGAGGGGATCTCGCATAGTCACAGCTGTACCAAGCGCCATGAGTCTTGTCCTGCAAATGCCCCGCGGAAACCTCGAAACCATCAATCCTCGACCGCTGGTCATGGCGGTCGTGTGTCAAGACATCAACAGGTATGCCTCGTGGGTCGTATCGCGCGGGTTATGGGCTGATGATGTGTAGTGGCGAATACGGCAAAGCATTTGCGGCATGCCGCAAGCACCGAATTGACTTGAACGTTCTCGTCGAGCAAGATCGAAACCAGTTCAAGAACAATCTGCCACGATTCGTTGATCAAGTAGACGATGTTGATCATATCAATCTCTTCCTCACGAGCATTGGGTGCGTAGAACATTCGCTGTGCAGTGAATCAGCCATGACCTTGTACCTGTCAGGCAAGGTGGTCTTTCAGCAGAGACTGTATCGGAGCTGTGTGACGGCATTCGCTTGGAACTCGAGAAGCGGGATTTGAAGCGATATGTCAGTTCTGTATTGACCGCCCACGCCGTCAAAAGACCTCCGGATCACGAAGCTGCGCTCTCCTTGCTTCTACGTCTCAAAGGTGCGTGGTAGACTCCGCTCGAAGTTGTGCTCCACGAACAAACCTTCGCAGAGAGTGACCCCCAGCTTGTTGAGGAAGCCGTGAAGTACATCATATTCTTGGTTGACGCCGACAAGCTGTTCGAGACAGCGCTCGGAATGTATGATTTCTCGCTTGTACTCATGATCGCACAGCACGCACAGAAGGTATGTCACCATTTTACATGGCTTCCAGTCGTATCACCTAACTCACAGAACAGGATCCAAGGGAATATCTTCCCTTCCTCCGAGAACTGCGGGCTCTCGATCCTCATTACCAGCGATTCAGGATAGATGACCATCTGAAGCGTACGAGAGGCTCTCACGCATCTCAGTGAGGCTGGTAAGACGGAAACCTATGATCTCTGGATGTCTCTCATTGGGTGCAACAGGAGCCGATCGGTTCGAAGAGGCCATGACTTACGTAGAGAAGCATCAACTCTACGATGCAGCGCTGGCAATCTGGCGTCCAACGGATCAGTATAAGGTAGGACCTGAATCTCGGTGCTGCCGGATCTAGATCTCACGTCAATGTCCTAGGCGATACTCAACATCTACGGTGACTGGCTCTTCGAGCGAAGGGACTTTAGGTCCGCTGCGTTCGGTACGTAGCGCCACCTCTACTCCTGACCTTCGTCATACATGTGCTGACCAGAATGCTAGTCTTCCGCCAAGCATCCAAACCGAGGAAGGCCATGATTGCACATGAGAGAGCGCTCGAATGGGCGGAGCTATTCGAGCTTGCACTGCAGGAGCAGCTTCCACCGGACGAGTTGTCGTCCATGGCATATCGCGTTGCGGGTTCGTACTCCTGCGTTGTAGTCGTATACTCTGCTAACGGTTGTAACAGAGGATCTTGCTGCGAAGAAGCGCTACATGGATGCGGCCCGTACCTTGCTTGACTATGCGGAAGATGTCAGGGAAGCTGTCAAGACACTTGTGGAGGGGAGCCACTTCTCAGAAGCGCGCCGAATTGTGAGTGGCAGAAGAATTAATCTGGGATCTCATGTCATCCATACCTCATCAGATAGCTTTGAGATCCCATCCAGAGCTCCTGGTAGATATCGTATACCCAGGTGGCTTGGAGTGTCGAGCACAGCTGGCAGAGGACCTACGCGAGATGAGGGAACAGCTGCGCAAACAAGTCGCACGACTCCGTGAACTGCGCGTGCGTAAAATAGAAGAGCCGGGTAAAAAAACAGCCTGTTTCTGTTTGCTGGATTGGCTGACATGCTCTTCTAGACGCATTCTACGGGGTAGAGGACGTAAATTTGCACGATGTCGATGTCATGACTGATGTGTCAATGGCGCCGACTGCATTTACGCGCTACACGCAAGCGCCTTCTTCAGTCTCTCGGACTACATCAAAGTGCGTGCAACGCAACAAGTCTATTGTGTGGCTGTTAACCAACAGACTTTAGGCGGAGCTCGCGTTCAAAGCGGAAGCTCGAGCGCAAGGTTGGCTCGGGAAGGAAGGGCACTGTCGATGAAGAAGAATACCTCCTGAAGTCTGTCACCAAACTCGTAGGCAGGTTCAACACTACTCAAGGTTTGCAGTCGCCTCCTCGCTGCAAGGTCTCTGACTTACATTACCTTCAATACAGCTGACGCGGCCAGCCTGCTCCCGCATCTCCTTCAGTTCACTGAGGATCACCAGACTGAGGCGCGCTCCCTTCAAACAGACCTTCAGTCGTTCGAGGACGAGTTGCGCAATGCCGTTGAAGAGATTGGACAAAGCCGGCGCCCGAGGGTGATGATGCAGCGGAATCCACACTCGACGGGTGGGCAGCGCGGATGGAAGAGTACGAGAAGCAACGGCAGATCAACGCCGTCGAGAAGGTCAGCAAGCCAGAGTTTGTGAAGCGCGAGTGGGATCTGAGGCTGCCCGCATAACATAATGTGAGATGGATAACTGCAGTGTAACAATGTGATGTAGCCCTAGAATGCAGTGAAACCCCAATCAAAGAAAAAGTCTACGACTGTTTGATGTCCTAGACGTCGCACAGATCGTCTCAAGTGCCCTGGTGCTGTTATTGACTAGAGAAGGATATCCTGAGGCACGAAGGTGGAAGGAATTGTCTATGTCTGCCTGGCCCGCCTGTCTTTGGGCACCTAAGTAGCACTATAGATGGTATTTCCTCCTCCACCCCCTCTTGTCGAACGTTCTGAACATCTTGACCCTCAACTGGGTTGCCGAATGGCCCACTTGACGAAACGTCTAACGCGACTCACTTAGATCGGTGGAGACATATTGACTGATCAATTGCGTGAGGTCGTCTCCGCCCGGTGTACCTGCGCAGATCGGCGTAGGCCCATCATCCTTTGGGGCGAGTGAGCGATGTCATACTAGTACTGCGTCTATTGTGGTGCTCCAGTTCGCGACACCGTAGCTTGAGATGGCACACTACTATGTCGCCCTGCACGGCACGCCTAATCGCGGTGCCGTAGCGAAACTTGTCCTACGCCCCGGACAGCGAGACAGGCTCGAAATAGCAGCAAACAGGATACAGTCTTTTGCACTTCTCCTCCCGTTCGCCAGGGTTATATGCCCTGCATTCGACATAGTTCAGATCGTTCGAAGGGACAGTTACTCGCGAGATCGCGAGACTGTTCTGATAACGGATATATTCGTACATGCAAGAAAAGTACAGCATCAACTCGAGACAAAGGCAGATCTCAGTTGAATACAACCTCAGACCGACCTCACGCCTGTTCAAACAGAATACGGTTCGCTGCTTCAATGAGGTTCCTCTCCCCTGCGGACGCATCTGCAGGTTGCTCGAACGGCGCGAGGCCGAACATGCGCCGCGTGTGTACGCCGGTGATGTCGTCAACACCGATTCGGCCTACAAACTGCGATTCGCCCTCGCCACCAGGGAAGTCTCTGCAGATTGTCGTTAACATGAACGTCTGGCGTATGGAAATCCGAACATGGCAACTCACGGAGAGGGTACCCCCCGCGCAAACGAAGCTCGTTGGTCGCGGAGGTACCAGGCGCTGATTGGGTCGTCATCAGCCATGGATATACAACGACTGTTGTCAAAAGATGAGCCCACTTCTTCTCCGTCAGCGGAACAGCTGGGATGTAAAGGACAGATGAGTCTCCCGCTCCTCTGTGCTCGCTCTCAACCGCATGCACAACATCGCAATGCCCTATCCAGTCCGTCAGCCATGCCATACGCCCCAACGCCTCATCATGAGAAGTACTCACAGTACACCTGGTCGCCAGGCTCGACCCTCGGGATGCTCACGAGCGTCTTGTCGAAGCATAGGTGCGGATGGCTCTGAGAGTTGAGCTCCTGCGCCTTCCGGGGAACGCTCCCGGGGAACTCCGTGCTCTCCAGGTCAAGCACCCAGTCGTCCGCAGCGAGCGAGTGCGCGGGTGCGCCCGCGCGGAGGGCGAAGAACGGCCGGAGCATGATGTACGCCGCTGCAAGCGTGATCATGGGGAAGACCTGCAGCGTGCCTTCGCGCGGGCCCGTGCTCGAGAGCGCTGTCCAGCCCTGCCAGGGGCGGAACACAGAACACTGGTTCCTGAGGCGCATGTCAGAATATGTCATCTCCCGCAACCGAGGGTGCTGTGAGAGCAGCGAACACTCACGGCGCGTCATACAAGTCCTGCTTCGCGTCCAACCTCGGTGCGACGTCGAAGGCATCGTGCTTCCTCCACGCCTCCACGTCCACCACCCCATTCTCATCCTCATGCTCTAGAATCTTGCTGAAGCACGCGCGGAAGCCCGGGTCCTCCCAGCGCTCCACGCCCCGCTGTCGACGTGCGGGCCGAGGGTGAAGACGCTGGGTCCGGGCGGGCGGATGCGGAGGCGATCGAAGTAGGCGAGGGGCGTGCGTAGGCTGACGCGGACGACCGGACGCGGACGAGGAGCGTGCAGAGTTGTGCCAGAGTGAGAGCAGCGCGGATTGCGTGGCTAGTAGCGCGGGGTGCGTGCGTGCGCGGAGTTGCGCGGGGCTCTGGTAGAGCTCGTAGAAGACGATGTTGTCGGACGGTGCGCCTGAGTGTTGAGAGGGTTACAACGAACCAGATGACGAGATGAATGTGTAGGCAAAATGGCTGCGCACCTTTGACGCGGTCACGGTTAGCTGCTATGTAGTCGCGGATAGACTGCTTCCATCCTAGTGCTTCCTAAGGAACATCAGCAAATGTACAGGTCACTTACTCGGTCCTTACACGCCTTAATAAGTCGATAAAGCACTGTAAGACGCTAAGGAGATCTGCTTAATCAACAAGGCCCATTCTCTTGATTAAGACGTCGAGCCTTGATAGGCCTTAGTAAGGACGACTTAAGCTAGTATCAAGACAACATAAGCAGCTCTAAGCAGCATTGTAAAGGAGATAAGCCGGCACTCAAGTTCCTCAAAACGCGTCAATAGCCACGAAGTAGCATTGCATTAGGTCGTACGAACAGGTGCGGAAACCAATTTTGGCCGCATTACGCATGATAGCGGTCTAGTGAATGTACAGTGCATGGAATACTGCCGAGATGGCGCGCTATAGTTCATGTACAGTATGCAAATTAGTAGTTCGGCGATGATGATGACAACGTAATGAATGGACAGTATGTTGATTAGTACCAGATCTGAATATGCAGTCGGCGGGGACTCGGGGTGCAGCTGCGACAGAGACTCGGAAAACATGACAAGGGGTATACGGACGTGGCGATATGAAGCCGCTGGAATCAAGACGATCACTCCGACTGCATAGATGCTGTATCAAGACGTCAGCATCCGATTGTATGCATCACTGCATTTGGTACTTACCGCCGTCATCTTCCTCGAATGGCTCGCATTCAACCGGCGAATGACACTGTTGACCCGCAGCGGTGTCCGACCCATACATACTCGCCGTATCTTCCTCTACCTCCATGGAGTTGTCGACGGCCTCAGGCTCCACATCCCCGACGATTGGGTCGCTGTCGTCCTCGTTGGGTGGCTCGGAATGTGCAGCCACCTCACCGTCATCTTCTTCCAAGTCGGAGCTGTCGAGAAGCCTGGCGCGATCATCCTCTGGCCCCATGTCGCAGTCAGAACTTGCTGAATGTCCAAGGCGCCGAGCTTTGCCCTTCTTCGCGTATGGTTCTGCGGCAGCGATGATCGCGTCCCAGACCTCGGGCTTGAGTTGTGCGATAGTTCCTTGGTAACCATCTGTTGCATCATACCAGATACTGGCATTGAACTCGGGTCGCTTGGTATCGCCTGGATCCGACACGTGGTGTACACCAGTCTCAAAGAGCATCAACGCTCGCTCAAGCTGTATGATAAGCCAAGTGAGTACTACATGCCACTGATCAGCTTCTGGAATGGCGCTTACCGCGACACAAGTGAGTGCAAGTGCCCCCTGTGGCTCATAGCCTTTGAAGAAAGAGCCGACGGTCCCTTGAACTTCTGTGAGGTGCGTTGCGAAGGTCTTGATGATCAGTGAAGATTGGAATGCGCCTGTTCGCTTCTGGGGGGCCTGATCAACCAATATGATTGCATGATCGAGGTAACTGCATACCGGGGTCGTTGCCTGCCATATGAATAGCTTCTTGGGACCGAGAGCCCACTTCACAAACTTCGCGCGAGACTCTGGCGACGAATACTGTTCGCCGCCGTCTTCGAAATGTCCCACAACAACATTGATAGCTGCGGCGGCGAGTTTGTTACGCCACTCGGCGAGGCGTTGGTTCATCTAGAAGATAATCGTTCCAGGTGAGTCATGCTCGCCATCGCAGCAAACATTCGATACTTACCACTCCAAGAATTGGCCCTCGAATATCCTCCGACGAGACAGGTGTGTTGTATACCTTCTCCCATACATACGTAAGGTTTCCGACCATGCGGTTATTCGCAGTGTTATCCCAAGGGTCGTTGCCGGTAGCATACATGTCATACATGGTTGGAACGTACGTATTGCGCCACAGTTTGCGGCAGGCAGCTGGGAGATCCTCGTTCTTGTAGTGCGAGACACCAACGCGTTTACGGCCTTTTGTGACGCCCTTGTCCAGGCCACTCGAGTTGTGCGTGATGGTGACAATTCCCTACAGGTAAGGGACGAATTGTCATGTATGCACAGACGACGAAGCTCATTGACTGCGTACCTCTGCTGTAGTACGCACGTCACCCTTCTCTGGAGCGGCCGTCTCGTCATCGTCATCGCTTGCGTATCCTCCGTTCAAGACTTCGCCTGGCGGGCCCGACTCATCGTCACTTCCTTTGACTTGAGGTGGCTGCAACTTCGACCACTCGCGCGCGACCTGTATAGCAGCCCTCGGAAGAGAGATGGCTTGTTGTTTGGCAGGAGTAGTGGTGGCCTTAGACGGAGTGACAGCCTGAGCTTGAGAACTCCAGTCAGGTCGTACACCGGCTGGGGCTTTCGTCCTTGACTTCTTCGCAGGTTTCCTGGATTGAGTGAGTATCTAGTATTCGCTGACACTCACAGAGCATATAGCCATGTCAACACTCACTGCTTGGGACGTGCGGACTCAGAACTTGCACCATTGTTGTCAGGCGCCTTGCGCTTTGAGCCACCAGCGGCGGCGGACTTGACGCTCGTAACGGTTGTTCCTTTCCCACTCGCACTTGTCGCCGCACTTGTACCTGTGCGGCGGGATTGCTGCCCCGATGCACTCAACAATTCTCTGGTCTCGGTAATAGCATCGCGTCCCGGTTTCGTCGACTTACGCGCTGACTGATGCTTGTCCGTGGATTCTACAGGATACCAGTGCATCAGTGTCCAAATCGATGCTGATACTGTACAGTCCAATGACTGACGATTCACTGGCAAGATCGTGCTCTGATGCAATATGTGAGTATCATTAACTCTTCTGGAACAGAACTGCAGACAAACCTCTGGTTGATGAGGGGTCACTGCAGGAGCTCGAGTACTAGTACTCTTGGCAGCACTGGAACCCGATGCGGAAGGCTTCTTGGTCTTCGACTGGGACGCAGTACTAGGTTTGTTTCCTACTTTTGCTCGCTTCAGCTCTGCCTTATGTGCAGTATTCTGTAGTTTCGCAACATGCACAAGCTTCTTAGCCTGTGTGGCTGCCTCCGCCGCTTGCTCCTGTTCGGCCTCGAGGCGCTCAGCAACCAGCTCACTCGACGGTCGCCGTGGATTTTTGAGGTCAGGATTTCCCGGATGCTTCGAAGCATTAGAGGGACGTGTATTGACCATAGCGTTGCAGGCAGCAGAAGTAGCGAGGGTGAAAGGATTCAAGTTCGAAGGAAAATGTAAGATAGATGGGAGAAAGGAGAAATGTCGTACACTCGTATGGCGAGATGCGCTGGCAGCAACTCGCCGCATTTGTTTGAACTCCGGCAGATAAAAGCGTGATCTGCAGGTCGTCTCGGGCACCTGCAATCAGATTATACCCAAGCCCGTACACCCTCAAGACCCTTCCTCTTCATCCACGATGCATCCGAGTCGTCGCCGTCAGCACCAACCAAGGCACCTTGCTTGTTCGATTCCGACATGCAATCATATGTCCATGAATGCATCTGGTCGCACTCAACACTTCAACGCTGTTCATTTACCTGCGCTGTCATTTGGGCAGCCTCGCCTTCCCCGTCGCTCGGAAACCCCGGAAGATCCTCAGCATGACCACCTTCATGGCCATGAACCACTGGGCCACGACAATGATCATCCAGACGAAGGCGAGCCTCGGCGCCCTGTTGACTTCCGCGAGTACCACTCCGCCTGACAGGTATGATCGGCACTGTCTTCTCGTACTCTTTTCACTGACTAGGACACTGTACGAAGGCCTTGGATGTGACGCCGATGGCAATGTCCTTCCGGCAGATGCACCTCCGCCGCCGTGGCTTGATCCCGAGCCTACAAACTGGAATCCGTACGACAGCCGAAACGAGTTTGAGGTCGCTAACTTCCTCTACAAGAAGTGTCAGATGCCGCAGGCGAAGATTAACCAGTTAATGAACCTTTGGGCAGCATCCCTTCTCAAGCATGACGACAATCCACCCTTCGCCGATAACACTGATCTCGAGAACGTCATTGATGCGACAACTGTCGGTGACATTCCATGGCAGTCTTTCTCGGTCAGTACTCAGGACGCAAACCTGACGGGAATGTTCCATCGTGGATGACTGCCGAACATGACGTCTGGTACAAGTCGCCGCGTCTCGTCGCTCACCACATCATCGGGAATGCGGACATCGCAGAGGAATTTGATAAGGTCCCCTACCGCGAGTTTGTCCATGTTGATGGTGAGGAACAGCCACGACGCCGGTATGGCAACTTCATGTCAGCGAATTGGCCATGGGAACAAGCAGTAAGTACACTTAGTAGCTGAGCTCGATTGGATGATCTAGTACTAATTGTTCTGCTCGTGCAATAGGATATCATCGCAGAAGACGAGAAAATGCATGGGGCGATGTTCGGGCCCCTCGTTGTCGGTAGCGACAAGACCACCGTTTCTGTAGCTACAGGTCAAAACGAGTATTACCCTCTCTACATGTCCCTCGGAAATGTCCATAATAATGTGCGTCGCGCGCACCGCGATGCACTGGTCCTTATTGGCTTCTTATCTATACCGAAGTGTGAGTTGTGTACGAATTGTACTGCTGTCATCCGAGTCGTGTACGAAGTCTTACCTTATTTCCAGCGAACAGGGTACACAAGAAAACCAAGCAATTCCTCAAGTTTCGGCAGCAGCTATTCCATTCCAGCCTCTCGGCGATCTTCGACTGCTTGCGGCCATATATGGCAGAGCAGTATGACGTCGTCCGTTGTGGGGATGGCTATTACCGACGTGTTGTGTATGGCCTGGGTCCATACATTGCCGACTACCCTGAACAGGTCCTCGCGGCGTGTATAGTCCAAGGCTGGTGCTCGTTGTAAGCTGATATATTGTTGTAATCGCGCTGCTTGTGTTTCCCACTGATTTTGCTATGTGACCTTCAGTTGTGATGCCCATCGTTCAAACCTTGGTCCAGGTGCCGATCGTCGAACTCAAGCTGTCACCGAAGCCCTTATCGACGCGTTAGATCCACGGGTCCTATGGGATGAATACGGCATCGTGCATGACATCATTGTGAGTTGTCTCCGCACATTTCCTGCTTTAGACAGTGATTCATTCACACTCTGCAGCCATTCACGAACGACTTCCCACGTGCAGATATCCACGAACTCTTATCGGGCGATCTCCTACACCAAGTTATCAAGGGCGCCTTCAAGGATCATCTCGTGACATGGGTTGGCGAGTATCTGACTCTACAACATGGCGAGGCGCGTGCGAAGGAGCTACTTGATGAAATAGATCGGCGGTATGTCATGCGTTGTGTCGAGTGTACTTACTGCTGCTTACTTATGACTTGGTTAGAATTGCTTCGACACCTTACTTCCCGGGACTGCGACGATTCTACGAGGGACGTGAATTCAAGCAATGGACTGGGGATGACTCAAAGGCTTTAATGAAGGTATGTCAACCGTGTGTTCATTCGTCGCGAAAACCACCAAATATGTGCATTATCAGGTCTACCTGCCTGCTATCAACGGGATAGTACCCGATGACATGGTCCGCGCCCTTGCCGCCTTCATGGAAGTCTGTTATCTCCTGCGTCGCTCAATTTTGGACGACACTGATCTCATTGCAATCGAGACTGCCCTTGAGAGGTTCCGACACCATCGCCAGATCTTCCAGGACTCTGGTGTCCGGCCTACTGGCTTCTCTCTGCCTAGGATGCATGCCCTGGATCACTACATACGACACATCCAACAGTTCGGGGCTCCGAATGGTCTGTGCTCCTCTATGACCGAGGCTAAGCACATCAAAGCCGTCAAAGAACCATGGCGCCGGTCGAATCGTCACAGACCACTCGGGCAGATGCTCCTGACGAATCAGCGCCTAGACAAACTCGCCGCGTCGCGCCGAGACTTCGAGCGTCGTGGAATGCTTGAAGGCGACTCGCTATCGGCCGCGCTTGCGGAACTCGCGGCGGATGATCCACCAGCAATGGGTGAACCTATTGCGGCCGAGGCCCAGGGTGAACTTGATGATGAAGAGCCGGTACTCGCGCAGGATGAAGAGAGAGATGACGAAGAAGACGACGTAGTTGATGGACCGACAGTTCATGGCTTTGTAGAACTGGCCCGTTGTCCAGGTATGTCGATATCCTTTCCGACTCAGTTTTTACTTCCAATGATTGACCGGCGCGCCGCCAACAATAAATCTAGTTCGTGGTTTGCCTAATACTCTCCAAGCCCTCAGCGAGCACATTGGCCAACCTGCACTGCCGTCCCTATTGCGCCGCTTCCTGTTTGATCAGCAAAACCCCCAGTCCGACGTACCAGGAGACGAGGTCTCCCTTCGGGAGTGCCCAGTAATCAACAGCCGATCAAGAGTACGCGTCTTCCCATCAGCCGTCGCGACATTCTACGCACCTAGCGATGTTTCCGGAGTCGGTGGTATGCGGCGCGAGCGCATCCGCGCTGTATCGAGTTGGTACAATGGCCCAGGCCGATACGATTGCGTCTTCGTCGGCACAGACCCTTCACAGCAAGGAATGCGGAGCATGCATGCAGCGCGTGTTCGACTCCTCTTCTCCTTCCGACAGGATGACACGACGTACCCGTGCGCCCTTGTCGAGTGGTTTGAAGCCGTCGAAGATGAGCCGGATGGTTGTACAGGTATGTGGGTGGTTGAACCTGACCTCTACGCAGACAACTCTCGCCACACATCTGTCATACACCTAGACTCAGTTCTCCGACTCGCACATCTCATTCCTGTCTATGGTGAAGACTTCCTACCAATTAATTTCGACGCCGTACACTCGCTGGACGCTTTCCGATCATACTTCGTCAACAAATTCGCGGATCATAATGCTCACGAGATAGCTTTCTGATTCCTGTCATTTGTACTAGTACTACATTCGACATTGGCTCCGCGACCACTTCCCAGCCCGCTTATGTTGCTTAATCATCTTGCTTCGGAAGTGCGCTGTAAATGTGCTTAATGAATGCTTATACTCTTATTGCTGCTTGACGACGTGGCACTCCTGTGAGGCACAGGTATTCCAAAGCCAGTAAGTCGACTAAGGAGATGATTAAGTCTGTTAAGCTCCGTAAGTGCGAGTAAGACTGAGTAAGTGATGTGCACATTTGCTGATGCGGGTTCCACGGTACAGAATATGATAACTCATGTCTCCGGCACTGCAATGGTCTTCTCAAGTATTGTTGCTGCTTGTGTATGACCGACATCGAGGTGTCCCACCCGAGGTCACCGAGCGATGACGTGTATATGCCGACAATGACGCGAATCAACAGCTGCGGTTCCTATGGCATACATCAACAACAAGATCGGGTCAGGAAAACACCAAGACATACTCGATTCATGTCGAAGACCGCTGATCCTAGGACACCAGTCCGGTCCGCCAAGTACACGGACATGTTTGTGCACCCTATCACAATGCCGAGCACAAAACTGCGATCCATTGACTCGCGGAAGACCATGCGCATGCTCTTCAGTAACTGCTTTGACTACTACCTTGTTTCTGCTTCATCTCTGCCTATCCGAGATGTGCAAGTTTTGCAAATCAAGTTCTTCCACCTCCTCGAAGTAAGTGCCATGTCCACGGTCCAGCTTGTGAACTTGAAGCACCGCGACTCGGACCGGGCATCCCCATCAGTGTCGAGGCCAGAAGCTCACATTTTGTACCGCATCTAGTCATCCATCGTCTGCGCCAGCGCATATACAGGCTTGGAATGCCAACGCAATTGAACTTGACGTCGTCAGTGAACTCTCGACTGATGTGTTTTGTGACGTTGCTGGCTTTCTGGAGAGAATGTTCCCTGTCTCGGACAAGATCATGAACAAGGTCTTCGCAAACGCGTCGAAATCCCGATGTTACAATGCTCCAAAGAAGCAGTGGTCAGGCTACCCGACCCAGCAAACTACTAACCACAAAAGCAATTTGTATGCGCCGTTCGTCACGCTCGCACGATCTATCGCTGGCCACACATCAGCAAATCGGGCAATTTCTGAGCATCTGACTGGCTGACAGAGACCCTTCAGAGTATCAGACACCTCCAGGCACTCAGAGTACCTCAGGTTCGTCAGAATGTCAGAAAAACTATCGGATTGTCTTGTCCCAGTCTCGCTTCAATTCCTTTATGTTCAGTACTATATACAGTGGCTTATAATTCCAAATCTCCCAACTGAT